GATGAATTTTATCAACTTTTTATAGGTATATCACCGCTCATGTGCCCTGAAGGGTTTATGAAAATGCAACGTATAGCAAACCCTTCCGAGGGTTGATGAACCGAAAGGGTATATGAAAGAGTTTATGATATTCATAAACGTTTTCCCAGGGTTTACTAATCTACGCCTATTTTTTACAGTGTAGAGCTGGCAAGAGATTGGCAGAAAACGAAGCGACAAAATGAATAGATAGGATAGCGATATGGTTTTGGGTTTGGATATAGACGATATTCCCCACACATACATCTACATCTTAATGCGCTTAAGGGAAAGGCGCATATCTTCAAGAAAATTGTTTTTAAATCTGCCTTGGTCGTGCACTGTAGAAAAAGCGTAGATTAATACACCCTTCAAGGATTTATTATACGTTGCACTTTCACAAACCCTTGAAGGGTACATTAATCTACGCTTCTTTTTACAGTGTGCATAACAACATGTTTCGAATTCAACCTTTGCATTTGTGCTTCTTCTTACAGTTAAATATCGACATCGTCTTGACTCTGATATGCAATCAAACTACCAAACAAAAGAAGAGAAAGACGAGAGTAATCAAACGGCTTTATTCTTTTTTCTCCTATCTATGCGTCGTAAAACACGAGATTTCAGTCTAATAACCCACTCTGCAGTGCATATCTATCACGAACAGGGTTCTTTTTTTTGTCGAACAGAATCAAAGGATGGTATACTTGTTCTTGCTCGCGTTTGCTCTTATCTGTTGCAGTACTTCTAGCAATGGTTCAAATTGTCCAGATCGTCTATCAATAGAACAGTCTCTGAACGACGTTCACATTCCAGGTGCCGCAATCATTGTGATCAATGCTACTCATCGATTGTACGAGCAAGCCTTTGGCTACCAGTCTCTGTCACCAAAACAACCGATGGACATTGACAAGTCTATTTTTCCGCTGGCTTCTCTCTCAAAAACGTTCATTGCTGTTGCTGTGATGCAACTTGTTGAGCAAGAACTCGTCGACCTTGATACAGACGTCAATGAATATCTATCAGAACCATACAAACGTGTTTTTCATCCACGTTATCCTTCGTATTCGATTACTCTACGCAAATTACTCTCACACTCGGCCTCAATCTTTGTGAGTTCTCAAATACAAAATACTTACTATCGGCCAGGTGATACTGCATTCACGGAATCGATAAGTGAGATGGTTTTTACGTATGTGAATCCGAACACATCAAACTGGTTACCAAAACCACCAGGCAGTGTCACATCGTATTCGAATGAGGGTGCAACTCTGGCTGCATTGGTTGTCGAACGCGTAGCAAACATATCCTACATTGACTATATCAAGGAAAGAATTCTAAAACCGTTAGGTGTCGATATCAGAAAAACGGGTGTACGTCTAGCCGATTTTGTCAACGCTGATGATTTCGTCCAGCATTATACCTATGCATTCAATGCATCCTATCTCGAAGGATGGCAACTAGTATTTCCACAATTGAATATCACACAGCTTCCGGTATAAATGCGTCAATATGATTCGAGGTGTTAATGTATCAATCATTTTTCTTTCTGTAGGGCGATCTTCCCACTTGGCTCCACATTTCAAACTATGGCCAATGTATCGGCGACCATCCTTCTTGATATCCCAATACCAACTAAGACCAAATTGTGATGGCGGTCGTTGTTCCGTTGAATTGCTGTCCAAGTTTTGATTATATGGTGGTATGAGACCACCACCGACCACTGTTCGCATTTCCAAAATTGATCGAGAGCGAAGAATC